CCTTGGAAGAGGGTGTGCACCAAAATCACTTAATCTGAATAAACTTGAATCACTTAAACACATGATATTTTTGACAAGTTTGGTTGAAGTTAGCTCTGAAGAAGATAATAATGTGTAAAGTTTAATATAAGTTATACAACAACAATAAAAACAACAGACAATACACTAATTTCAATCTGAAAAGCTAAATTTAGCCTTAAGCATATCATTTAAACTACAAAATATTCTACATGTATCTAAAATTGACCCTACAGCAGAATGACCAAAGAATGATAACAAATGAAAGTACTAGTCTTAGAAAAGTTGACAATTAAATTACCATAGAAAAATGGGAACAACTTTAATTTTACTTTTATTGACCATTTGATAGCAAGGCCTCATAATACGAAAGTAAAAGGGCACGTATAAATGAAAAAAAAAGCCCTATAAAAGTTATTAAAGGATTCAAGTAGGCTTATATACATGTGTGATAAGTGATATATTGATTTCTGGGAAAGCAAAATGTTGGTGATGTGTGATAGATCAATACATTTGCTCCATGGCATCTAATCTCACCTCTGAGGTTTTATAGTTCCATGTTTTCTCTGCTCCCAATATGTATCGTTTCAATGGGCTTTTGAGTTTGATCTGCTGTTCGTTTATTTCCATATATCAGTATATCAGCTTATATACGTTATTATTGTAGTATCTATACACAACGTCACGTCATTCATGCAATACTAAGGCCTAAATGTTTTGCTACATAAAATTAATATAAGTAAAATTACTTACAATAAGCTTTTTTTAAAATGTCAAATCACATTGCTGAACCATTTCATCACATATTGAAGTATAACACATGGGATGTTGATAAAATGAAAGTAGAGGCACTGTGTAAAACTAGTCCCTCATGGAATATTTTGTTTGAATGTGAATCAATATGCACTTATAAATGATTGGAAGATTTCATCGATATAAACATTTAAAAAATAAGGATTAGTTTATCTCTCTATCGAAGCACCAATCTTTAAAAACTTTAAAAATAATAGAAACGCGTTTTCGTTTAGTATACGAAATCTTTACGAAAGGTTTACTAATTGGATATGTCATCCGGGAGGTTTATATCACGTGACAGTCTCTGTGGCGTGGTTTGGCCTACTTCGAAAGCTGATTGTCAAATATTTAGAAGAAAAAAAGAAAGACTTAGGTTTGTAGTTAAGGTCACAAGTTTTTTTGAATATGCGTATTTCTGAAAAAAAAGAATTAACTCGAGCTTTGCAAGAATATACCATATGCTTTGGACATTCACTGAGGTGACATTATGGTGTGATTTATTTTTCCATCCTCTTTCATTTTGTGTTACAAGCTGCAGCATGTTAATTACTAAGTGTTGATTGTTTCAATTTTGTTCGTATATTTGCAAATATAAAATGAAATTGTATCAGGTAGCCCTTAAAAATTGCCAATACTGAAAATACAATATTGACAGGCTTGGTGTAAAATGCGGAGGATGGAGTCTCCACAAAACTCCAAAATGGAGGGTCAGAGAGTGCAAGGGGTGGAGCCTCTTGTGTCAATTTTAATACATTTGCCCATTTTATCTTTCAATCATTTTAGAAACTGAATACAACTGGGTTGTTTGTAGAGCTCTCCATCAGTGATAAAAAGTGCCTGTCAGAATTAATTACTGAGTCTAGATACTGGTATGTCCCAAAAATTTTATTGCAGATAATTATGTCATGCATAACATATCGCAGATCACTTTGTCTGCAAATTATCAACAATTAAAAAGTATATTTCACATTGCTGTAAAAGCTACAAAAGCTTCTGTATGTGTAAACCACAAAAAGAAGATACAATTAAATGACAACTGAAAATGAAATTTAGCACAAAAAAAAGATAACATGACTTTCAATTATATCAACAACAAATGAGGGGACAATTTTTTGTCATCTTTCCCTGGAAGTTTAGGTAATCTAGTCCTTAGCAATTTTAACATTTGGCCCTTCAGATATTTGATACCTATACTAATAAAATCTGTCAAGACCTCATGGGTTACTGCGAGATAGCAGTGTGAATCAGACAGTTTCCATTGCACTAAGCAGCTGTGATATCGCAAAACAAGGCTGCATGCCCCTCATTTGTTTCTCATATCTGTAGGTCGATCATTTCGATTCTCATTTTGTTGTCTCTTTATCATGATGCTTGTTTCTCATTCTTTTTAGAGCAAAAAAATAAAATGAAATAAAAACAGTTAATGGCCAGAGTTCTCTAATAAAACAATCAGTTCATTTACTGAATCTATTATTTAATTATTTTTAATTTTTTTAAAATGGGATAATATTTCTGAGTGAATAATGACATCACGGCACATTTCCAACATCGGACAGTGTCTTCGACAGCAATCAGATTTCAGATGGTAATAGCTAGGTGTTTTGTAATGAGGCCGATATTCCTTGACGCCTTTATATACATATTAGTCTATTTATATATATCTGTATATAATATCACCAAAAGATAATAATTTTGATTCTGTTTCAGTCAGTCTCTGTTATCGTTAAAAATTAAATAATCAGCAAAGCTGTTCCCCTCGTTGAAATGTGGTGTTCATTATTTTTTTTATTACTGTTTCCTGTTTCTTTGTTTCTCATATAGTATTTTATGGACTTTATAAACAAATGTCATTAGATACTGTCAAATGGTCATCACAAAATCAGGTTATGGGAGATAAAACTGAGTTTCATTCACTCAACTTCAATGAAATTATTTTTTTTAATTGTTTGGGTAATGCAACACTCTAACACATTCTCACGGAGTATCAGAAAATGAGATGACAGATCTAATAAGCACGTGCTTAATTTACGACAAGCACTATGCTCCACCTCCTGCATCATCTAACACAAGAGGCTCCACCCCTTGCACTCTCTGACCCTCCATTTTGGAGTTTTGTGGAGACTCCATCCTCCGCATTTTACACCAAGCCATATTGACATGCATCATTACTTAGAACAGGTTGGGCACACACCCCCAAATGGTCATTAAACCCCCAGTTGGTGGTCAATCGCCCATATCGGCGTCTTTTTTACCTACCAAATGGTGGTCTTTTTTATTCAAATCCAAATTTTATTAAAATAAAGCAAAAGCGCATTTACTTAGGCATTGGAGAATTTTAATTAACATATTCCTCGTACATTTAATGCAATTAAGTCAATTTTCCATGTGGAATTTCTTTGGAACTTCGTAAAAACAAAACCCACAGTTGTGCGTGACGGCCGAACTATTTGCTCAAACAATACGAAAAAGTATTTTATTGTGTATAGTTTGGTAAAAAATATATTTAAACAAGAGGTGTTAGTCTAGAGAAGTAACTTTTCAAATGATCTTTCAATCTGCGTCTGTATAAATCTCTATAAAATCCCGTTAAACACGAGCTCCTCGTATTGTATTCGTATGGTGGGCACTTACTGCTATAATATTCATTTTTTCTACATTTGAATGTAACATTTATTTTTTATTTTCTTTTAGGTTCTGTGCGACCCTTTGTGGTTTCATATGCATATCTATGATGTATCTACTATATTTATTAAAAAATTTTTGAATAAAAAATTTACAAAGTGACATTTGCAATTATTCTTATTTCTATTCCAAGATTAGAGTTTTTGAGCGATTATTTTATCAAAAATTCACGGCATGTCGTATTTTTGTAAAAAATAAAGCCATAACATACGAAAAAAAATGATATAAAAGAGAATTCTTACCTTTCATCGTATTTTACTTTTTGAAAATTTACACTAATGGGCCTCCGTAGTGAAATCAGTCTTTTGACCCAAGTTCGGAAAAGATCGTCATTTTTAATTGGTTAAGATAATTGATCGGTTACCCGGATGACAGAAATATGAAGTGATAAACACGATTGATAGGCTCAACTCCGAGCGAGATGGAGGGAATTTTTCTTTTTAAGTTAAAACACAGAAAAGTTACTCTTGTTTACATAGGTGACGATTTTGTCAAATTTTTGAACGACACTGCGCAAAAAAGTCTGCGTTGAAATTCTGATTTTTTTCGTTCAAAGTTTAGAAAAATATCTATATTTTATTTCCCGTGAGTTGAAATTATGCGCCATTTCATGTTATTCCAGAGAACTGAACAAAACGATTTTTCTCTCCCATTTGGTAGGTAAAAAAGACGCCGATATGGGCGATTGACCACCAAACGGGGGTTTAATGACCATTTGGGGGTGTGTGCCCAACCTGTAGAAAATAGAAAGAGTTGTTTCCCATTAAATGCATTATTCAAGTCAAGATTAGGTTGGGTCACATTACACTGCTCCCGGCATGTAATTATTAATTAGTTAAAAATCGTGTACACTCTTTTATAACAACACCAGGGAAGTCACCATTTTGGACCCCTTCCTCGTTTCAGCGTTTGTTTTTTTTCCCCTTATTATGTTCCCCAAACGAAGTTGGGGAACATATTGTTTTTACTCTGTTTCTTATTATTATTTTTCTTCTTCCTGGGTACTTATTTGTCCGCGAATGATCTTGTAAACTGTTCATCTGATGTAAGTAAAATGTTTTTAGGGTAAGTAGACATATAATGTAGATTTGCGGAATCAAGGTCATTTTGCGCGCACATGCTTGCAAGAGCGCGCACGTGCAACATGTAAAATGACCAATATAATTGATATAGCCGTAACTTTTCTATTTTCTGATGAAATGTGTTGAAACTCAGAATATAAGAATATATTAGTATTATAGACAAGAGGACATGGTCAAATTATCATGAACTCACGCGCATGCACGTGCGCTTCGCTCTGATTGGCTGAAACAAAAATCTCAATATCTTATTCGTTTTTGACGAAATACTTTGAAATTTAAAACATAGTCATGCATTAAGATATCCTTCGATATGATATAAAATAATTTTCATGAAATCACGCACATGTACCTGCGCTGTAATCTGATTGGCTAAAACTTTAAATGCCTATAACTCCCTTCGTTTTCAGCCAAACAGGATGGGATTTAGAACATAGATAGTCTTAATGGACCCCTACAAGAGGATATGGTCAACATGCACATGCATGCACGTGCGTGCACGTGCAATATGTATAAATACAAACGCACTTGATTTAGCGTATTTTTGAATACTTTTTGAATGCCTTGATATTAAGTACATTTAAAAAAATTAATAGTGTAGATAATAATAATAATAATAATAACCTTTATTTATCCAGGATAACACAATTAGCATAAAGCTAGTTTTCATTGTGGTCCTCCATTAAAACATATTTACAATCACATATGAATATACAAAATTAACATCTTAATATAAACACAAGATATAAAAATACAACACATACATATATAAACACGAAGAAGCATATCTTGTACACTTAGACATTGAGGAAAAATCCATTTTAAGTATTGAGTCTGTTAAAATACTCAGCGAGATACACAGATTTAGAAATATCCACTGACCTAGAATTTCGAACATTTTGTGACAGTTTGTTCCATAATTAATGCAGATGAATATCTAAAAGAACGTTTGTAATTTTCTGTTTTGGCTCGTGGTAAATACAATATGTTTGACATAAAATCATTCGACCTGGTTTGGCGACAATTGACATCTCTTGTATATTGAAACACATTCAAATAATCTGGCATTTGATTGTTTAAAACCTTAAATAGAAAAGTGACCTGTCTAAACATAAAATAATCCTTGATTGGCATCCAGTTTAAACAAAAAAATAAAAAGGTAGTAGGAGTTAAAATATCTCGAATGTTTAAGAGTATCCTAGCTGCCCTCTTTTGAAGTTTGTACAACTTTTCTAAAAACATCTGATTTTTCACATTGCACCAAACAGTGGAACAGTAAGTAAAATGCGGAAATACAATACTATTAAAAACCTTAATTAAAGCATTCGGTGGCATAAAATGACTCACTCTCTTAAGCACAGCGTAGATACAATGATATGGTCATTCCGCATATGCATGCAGGTGTGCGCACGTGCAATGCAAAAATTTGCTATATACTTGGTATACTTTAGGGAAAACGTTGTTTTAGTTTAAGATGCATAGAATTTAGGTTATTTGATGAAGCTTAGAGGGAATAAGGCACCAAAACGAAGTTGGGGAGCGTTTGGGGAACATCTGTAACGGTTCCCGTTACAATTAGCTCTAGTTTTACTTAGATCTATCAAATAAAGATTCTCTTAAGACTAAAGATATAATGCTTAAATTATCCCGTTGGAGCCTCTACAATACACATTTCAGGCTAGAAACAATCCAAATACGCTCTTTTAGGACAGTTGATGGATACAGAAATGGAAAACAAATTCGGAAACTTCAGGTTTTTCTACTATTGAAAAGAACAGTTACTTATAAATCTAAAGGGAAAAAAATGCATTCTAATTCCATATAAGGATGTAAAAGACTGAAATTTCTTTCACAGTCTATCCTCATCAACTGTCCTAAAGAATGCCTTTTGGTTGTTTTTAGTTGGAAATGCTTAGTCCAGAATGTGACAATACAAAGCACCATGATACATATTGCATGCAGTGATTACATGTATATTCATTGGCAAATAATTTGTACCGGTATATTGTATGATTTCTACAATTTTAGATCAGAATGGCTGATGATGCAGCAATGGAGGAGAAGTTGTTAGCTGGGGAAGAGGAGGCAAAAAAGGAATCAGGTAAAACTGATAAACTGCCACAGGATAATCAAATACTATGTTATAAGGGTGTTTCTGGACTATTTTTAAAATAAGGTCCATTTGCCCTGTCTTCCCTGGCATAAAAAAGAATTGGTTCAATAGGGAATTTTTTTCCCCAGGAAAAATTTAATTCAACATATTTGTTAATGGACTAAAAAAAAAGGAATAATAAATATTGTTTTCCTAGAGGTTAAAAAAGTTTTGAAACGGGTGTTTTAGCCAGACATTAAGGTGAAGGCAAACGATTTCTTAAAACAGACTTGTCGAAATCCGTCGGTCCTGTCGGCAAGGCCGGTAAAAATTTGTCTGGACGGATAACATTTAAGAAAACGTTGGTCCAGATGACCGATTGAAAAAAATTGCGCGTAATGCAAATTTAATAAAAGTCGGGATCGGGATGCTTAGTTAAAGGTCACAAACACAGAAAAAATGGCCGCGTACGCAGCATGTTGACAATAGCTAAGTAAATTTGTTATTGCAAAGTCATAAAACTTGTCATTTATGTCTATGTTAAAGACTCTCTATCCCAAGAAAAGAAACTTGTTAGATTGAAGGATATTGGTGCTGTTATTCATATAACTTTATCAGCATCAAAATAAGGTACAAGTATCTGGTCTGACAAAAGTTTGACTGGTCCGACAGAACATTCGACTTTGTCAGACCAAATGTCTGACAGTGATTAAAATATTTCGACAAGTCTGTTAAAATGGTCATAACTGTATGTTTGTAAGTTTTACAGTTCATCAACTTGTCTACAATACTTGTAGCTGTTGCACTGATATTATAAAGGGGTAAAGAGTTGAACCTTAATATGAAATTACCCAGTAGAAAAAAAATTGTTGTTTATTTTAGATGTTGAAGAAAATGTTTACTAAATTCATATGATTTTAATGAAAGTTTATCCATGTAATCAGGGTTCTCCACATTTGAAAATTTAACCATGGAGGAAGCTGTAAGAAGGCGAAATGTGACCGAAAACACAAAATTATGTGTGTTAGACTTCCTAATCTTCATTAATCAATGATTGGTTTTGCAATGTTTAAAGGTAACCACTGCACCACAAAACAATGGAATAAATAACGCTTTTTTTAAATAAAAAAAAAAAAAGTTAAATTGTAAAGGATTTATCCTGTATCTTACTTCACAAATGTACTAAAATTTGCCCAAAACTGTAGTAACCTTCTGAAGGAATTTAAAGAAAAATTGTTGATATAGTTAGTCAGTAACCGTGGCAATATTTTTCAGAAATTAATAATTGTAAGAATTGTAGCCTGTTGTATGAAATGTTTTGTTTCACTATAACTAAAACTGATGAATGGGTAGTATTTTTTTTAAGTTAACACACAAAGGAACATTTGGACCAGTGTCCCTTTTTTCTAAACGTTTTATTTTTCTAGATATTGCATTTTTCACCAAGTGTTGTTTACTTCTCCACGTGCTTAGTGCTAAAAATAGCGCCACGCGACATTTCATAACACCGGGAAGTAACTCTAAAACTACGACTATAATGGCGATTAAACCTAAGCATGCTACGATGGCGATTCAGACGTAGGCCCTATGAACATTTTATCAAAAAGATAATAAAGTTAAAGCTTGAAAAATAGAGCATGGGAAATTGATTAACTACGGAGGAATATGAAATTTTTACAGAGTATTTTTTTTTTTCTGACACAGCATTTTTTTTCTGACACAGCATGCATGACGATTATCATGCTCGTAATTGTCATCTTTTATGAACCCATTATATATCTAATCATGTAGTGAACATGTTGAAGTTCCCCAAAATTATTTAGATCTACATGTGTACAGGATAATAAACTCTCAATAAATTAATCTGATCAGCTGATTGACTCTCCATTGATTGTCACGCTTCACAGCATAGTCGCTGATTAACGACGTGTTTGTTTAGTACAGTCGGCTTTCCTTCGAGGCATGCAAGGTACAGGGCAGTCGGTGTATAAACACAATTAACTACTCAAGTCATTAAAAAAGTAGGTGTCAGGACTGAAATGCAATAAAATTTAATCATGGCGGCTGCCGATTTTAACCATGGCGCAGCTCGTTTAACCATGGCGCACATAAATTTAACCATGGCGGGCCACCATGGTTAAACCCCTTGTGGAGAACCCTGGTAATGAAGGTTTACAATGTCAGCTGAGTTTTGCAGTCTGAATTAAAAGAGACTTGATCTAAATTCTAGACACAATGGATACAACAGAGAACGCAGAGTTGGTGGAAGTGAAGAAGGACGATGCTGAAGAAGAAGAGGAAGAAGAGAAAACAGAGACCAAACACGAGAAACGGGAAGAAGAAAACACTCTGTTGACAAATGGTTTGTTGTTCTGATCAATATCACGCACGAAAAAAATTTTCTTAAGGGGATGTTGCACATTAAAATTCATTCTGTTAAGAGTTCTACCGTTAATCAGATTGGAAGTGGTTTCTAAATATTTTTGTTTTTTTTTCTTTTTTTGGCAGCCATTAAAGGACCCATCAGGCTTTCTGTTGTTCTAATTAAAGATCTGAGTAATCATGACCTTCATCAAGTTCTACACAGGTGTTCTAAGGCTACCCTGGAAATGGAAAGGAGAAGGGGGTATTTTAAAAATCTTATAATTCATGAAACATGTGGTATTTTGTTGATAATTAGATGTAATTATTATGTAGGGTGAATTCACCATGCATCGGACAACTTTAAACAATTAACTTGCATCAAACCTGAATGTCTCCGTGTATTGACTTGTTTTGTCTTCCAGCGGAGGGGAACGAGTCAAAATTGGGTGAGTTTTGTCAATGATTGTCGTTGATTGATAAATCAATAGAAAATTTTATTTCAAAATCTATATAAATTTTCTAGAGATTTTTTTCCCACCATGCATCGGACACAAATTAAGCATGCATCAGACACTTTGAGATGCATGGGTAATCCAATTTTGTATAGAGATACATGTGTAATATCCAACTGACAGCTGATTCTTCAGAAATTAAAAAATAAAAATAAATTCAATATGCTCAGTGAAAGTACAAGTTATAGTTATGTGGAATCTAGAAGTGGACTCAATTTCTTCCAACTAGAAAATAGAACATTCAGAGTAGCAAGTTGCCATATTACGAAACATTGCAGGGCATATTGGGGGGGGGGGGAGGGGGGGAAGGCAATGTGATGTATCTAAAATCTCTCCTCATATGTGGATCACTAGTCATTCCAATTAAAATAATTTAATTCCTAAACAAATGTTTCAAATCACAGTAATTTTAAAACATATTGAGAGTTTTAAGGGCCACTGGGATGAGATCGGGCACCATCCCTGTTCAATTTGCTGTTTTTCTGATGCATGGTGAATATTGTCCGATCCATGGTGAATTCTGGCTCATTAAAATAACCCTTTATAAATGATATTTTCTCATTACATATCAGAAAATTGTTTCATAAATTTATATATTACCCGGTAATATGATTTTAAAAATTTTCTGTCTGTTTAAAACAGTGTGCTTACATTGTGGTTTGATCCATGGAGATCCATTGGGGCCCTGGCAATTCTCAAGAAGCTCGCAAAACTACAGTTATCTGGAGAAGATTTTAAAATGGAGTGTCCCAAAGCTTTGGCTTCCATGCTTGGTATGTCACTGCAATATTGATATTTAAAAGATATGTAGGTCTTTGAGGAGGCTATTAGGCCTAAAAAAAAATATGTTTGTTTCCTGTAACCCGACCGACCCATTCAAATTATCCCCGGGTGGATTTTTTTTCCTGACAAATGGCAAAACTTCGTTTGATCAATCAGCTGATTCCATTTATTAAATTTAAAAAAATAGCTTGTAGCTTAATTTGAGACATAAAATATGTCAACTTAGTGTACATTTACCTTAAATATAAAGAGTAATCATTATTGTAACAACACTTTCCCCATACAACTTTCTGAAGTTTGTTTTCTGCCGCTTGGCAGCCATTTTGGATGCCATATTGGGTGTCCACTGTAAATATAACACCTGGTATATTTGGTCCGGGGATGTTTGACCATTCATAAGCGAAAAAAAAAGAAAAAAAAAAAAGAATTTCCGACCTACCGACCCTTGATTTTTTGGGAATGTTACAGGAAACAAACTTATTTTTTTTTTAAGCCTTAGCATTATTAGAATACAATTGATACACCTGTTAAAGTTTTGCTTGCTTATAAGACATTATTTTCATTAATTGTGTTTGTTCACTGTTTATTGTGGTCTATTTTTATGAACTGAAAGTCATGTATATGTATATATAATTGTCCTTGATCATAAATGGAAGAGAAATTGGTTCTTTTGGAGACTGATTGCATTTTTTGTTTTGTTTAGGTACACAGAAGATAAAGGAAAAGTATCCTGATGCCAAATTTGGTAAATATAGACAAAAACATCAAAGCAGCGGAGCAAATCCTCAACGGGGTTTACATTTTGTTTCGAGCTGCTTCAAAAAAAATTTCTTTCCCGGGAACTTTCAAATAATTTTTTTTTTCTAAATAAATGATCCATTTGAACAGAAAAAGTGAAATACTGAATATTGAAGGCTTTGTGCCAGATATAATATTTTCATACTTAAATGTTCTTTTGAATGTTGAGCAGTATAAACATGATGATGCTCTTTTCATTGACAGAAGTTGTTACTCTTCAGTGTTGTGTGCTTGGATGCTGACTCTTGCTAGATTCTGGCATATGTCACCCAATAAAATAAGATTAAAGAAACCACAATGGTTTCAACTTAACCTTGTCACCCCCTTCTCATGGACTGTTCCATACAAATATTATAACTGGTCATTACCACTCAGACATATGTTTCCCACTAAGAAGGGGTGACAGGGTTTTGATTTGACTTGTGAATTTACAGGACATAAAAATAAAACTCTGTATGTTCATGACATACCACAAGAAACTACTGAAGAGGTTTTAAGGGCCATGTTCCCAGATGTTTCTAGTGTCAACATGCCCGTCGATAAAGAGGGGAAGAAGCTCGGGTAAGTGTTAGCCACTCGCCACCATGGCTGGTGCGTTCATTCTACAGATATTTTCAGAACATGCAGTGAATTTTGTAATGCTCATAGTCAGTGTGTTACTGTCTGTGTGTGTTTGAACGAAGGGAGAGAGGTAAAGGTCACTATATTCCATTGTATAAGTAATATTTTTTTCTGCACTTGTTCTCTACAGCTGAGTTAAACAGTTATGTCTTTTTTTTTCTCAGAAAGTTGAATTGTGATGTCTAATTGTAGAAAGTTGAACAATTATTTCTATTATTTAAATTGTACAAAATCAAAGAAATACTTTTTTGGATAAATATCAGATTTATATGTATCCATTCATGGAAATATGCAGTTAAAGGAGTAAAAGCTTGAATTAGAAAAAAAGGCAGGATAAGGTGGCAAGATTTAAAGCATTGCCTCTGTTTACAGGGTAGCCATTCTGGATTTTGTATCTGGGAAGGACTGTGCAGCCGCTCTGGAGAGAAGTCCTGTGGTTCTGATTGGAGAAACCAACTGCACTGTGGACTGGTACTTCCCAGCACCTGAAGATTGTACGTACTTAGTATATAGGGCGAGTGTTTACTTTCATTTCTGAAACTCTCGGTTCTTACGAATGGGTCAAATTTGTTTATAGTTTGATATGAGGTAGTTTTGAAGACATGTAGGGAATCTTGTGATTTTTCCTGGTGTGTCTTAAATGGTTTCATTTAAAACGTGTGAATGTCTGTTATATTGAATAGATATTTACATACATTTATCCTTTGCTTTGACTAAGTAATTTTTAAACAAAGTAAACAGCAGATTGTCCAAGATAGCATTTTATCATTTCTATCAGTGGATGATCCCGCGGAAAGACAGAAGAAGCAACACAAAGAACAGTCGGGAGGCTGGAGGAAAAGGAACCGTGGGGGTGGTGGTGGTGGTGGGGGCGGAGGTTACTATGGCAACAGAGACAGAGGTCGTCGTGACTACAGAGCCGGTCCCATGGGAGGAGAGTACGGACAGAATTACAGTAAGTGTCCTATAAATTGAGAGCATAAAACAATCCAAAGGAAAAATCAAAATTATATAAAATATAAAATAAAAATAATCGAAACTGGAAAAAATATAGCTGTCTTCAAGAAATATAACTCACAGGACTCGGGTGTCCTGAAGATGTACTTGTTATTTGAGACTTGATGCACTCTGTTGTATGTTGATATGTACTTTCAGTGATGAAACAGGAGAAAATGAACCAGATGTTGATGAATCAGATGCAGAATTTGGCGTCCATGGTGGGGGGAGGTCCAGGGGGACCCCAGGGATATGGGGGTGAGTGCTGCAGAATGTCAGATAAGGATGAAATCAATATCAAGATTTTCACTTAATTATATCAATATTCGAAGTATGTATCATGTAAAAATGGGAATTGAATATCTTAAATGCAGACAGTATTAAAAAATGCCACTCCTGGCACATATTAATGTTGTATGGAAAATGTTCTTCACAGATTTGAATTAAGGATTATATTTTAAAAGTGGATTTTTTTTTTCTTTCCAGGGAACCCACCTATGGGCCAGAGTAGTGGTGTAAGTAACCTTAACTTATTATCTATATCATACCTTTTCCAGTAAGAGGGGGGATTACTAAAGTACATTTCCTTCAGTATATATTTGTATCAAAAGTATTTGGGAAATCATTAATGGTTAAAACTTTCCTGTATTACTAATGGTAGTCCAGTGCACAGATTGTTTTGCAATTATACATACTTAAATTAATTAATGACAGGAATTGACTAAATATATGGCACCAGTTTTATGTGGGAAAAAACAAGATAAAGTGGTTATTCAAGGAAATTTTGAGATGGCAACAATGTTTACTTGTGATTTATTAGGTGGGAGGGTTGGAATGAGGCTAATTTTAATGAAATGTTTAATTTGAAATTTCAGTATGGAGACTATGATCAAGGATTCGGAGATAAGTATGTATATCCTTACATATGCTAAATTTAATTCAATTCATTTTATTGACATTATCATAACCATGGCAGTTAAGTACAAACTGTGTTTCATTTTCAAAAAGTAATTTACAAGCATTGTGAGTAGATTTACATGTACATGTAAATATTACTTAATACAGTAAAACTCATTTAGTACGAACAGGGATAGATATTGTCAGAATGTTAGTGTTCTATGATAACGGCAGCTTGTGGATTGTTTAGGTCTGCTGGGGTAATAATGTATTGTAAAGCGCTTTGAGTAGCATTTATGCTAGAAAAGCGCTATATAAAAACAATCATTATTATTATTATTATATTGTGAATTCATGGATCCCCAGCTATATAAAATTAACAATTTCCTTATACGGATAAAACGAATTACAGATATAGCGGAGTAATTTCATAGGTCCCAGTGACTTCGTTATAACCAAGTTTTACTGTCGACCTGTATACTTTGTCATCTCTGTGTAAAAATTTCATGATGTACATGTATCTTAAAAACTTGTGATATTTTTGCAGTTTTGGAAGTTACCAGTCTGGTTACTATGGAGATGATGACTATTCAGCACCAAACAAAAGAATGAGAGGTAAATCATTCAGAGATAAACATGTGATAAATATAGCTTTATCATCGGATCCCCTGTTTATCATTTAGTTGACAAAGATAATCAAATTCTAACTATTATGTGAAGAATTATTTTTTTGTTATTCAGGCAATAGAAACAGACGAGGAAATATGTGGTGAACAGGTGAGTTTTTTTGTATTGAAGAAAACTGATTCAGAATTTTACAGATAGTTTTAGCAAAAAATGTGTGACATTGAAACACAGACATTTTGGAATAGAAAATTTGGACAGACATTGATTCGAAAAACATTTATATATATAATGATTGAATATACATGTAGACATGAAATAGGTGAATACTAGGGAATTTGATAAGTTCAAATTGAATGAGGTCATTCTCCATGTATATGGTTTCATAAATTTTTAAAGCAAAAAATATTAAATGCTGTTGTTGTAATCATGCTAACACAGACAGAGAAATTTTACTAGTAGTTAATGTGCTTGACGTTTATTCACAAAAAAAGACCCAGATCATAATACAAAATTATGTTATATCAATTCCCTTTATAATTCTATAGTATACTGTTTGAATGCAGATTTTCTTTTTCTTTTCAGGGAGAAAGAAATGTTACCATCTGAGGATTACAGATTTGTTGTGATGTGAAAATAGACATAGACATTCATGCATTCAAAGACACTATTTTGAATGAAAATCCAAGTTTTTTTATATATACATATAAATGTATGTATCATCATGCATCGTATTGCTGTTGTTCGTATCATGTCAATCTTTTTTTTTACACATGTCAAGTGGATTTTCATGTTAAGGTATTAAATGTACATGAAATTCATAAGATATTGGATCTTTTTTTTTTTTGTATTTTGTCATTTTACCAAGATGGTTAATTAATTTAGCTAACATTTTAATGAAAAAGTGTGATTAAGTGTGTGAAATGCTACTTCAGATACTGCATGAAAAAGTATCTATAGATAATGCTCATGCAATTTGTCAGATACAAGTTTTTTTAAGCAGATAAAGATGTTATTACGATGGAAGGATCTGTATTGAAGAAAGCATGCTAATGTGCTTATGATAAAAAGGATCTCCTCAAAGAGGGGTCATAAAAAGTGTTAGAAAAGAAAAAGTATTTAAAAAATATATACTCTTGAAATTTTGAACACATAAATTTGAAAAAATCTTCCAACTATGTTTTGTGTTTTCCTGAATAAACACTTTTTATCTTGTAATTCTAGAAGTATCTCATAATAACAGGATAAGGTCTTAAATGTTGAAAAGTTGAGTATATTCATGTAGAAACCAGGAAGTAACAATTTTGTATCTTGCATATAATGTACAATATATTTTGCTCATCCCACTATTGTAATCTGAGCAAAAATTCTACAGTAGTATTTTAGATTTTAACAAGCAAATTCAAAGAATTGTAGTCCCCCGCTTTCAGTGTCTTTGTGGATGAGATGTCATTTTTTATGACACATTGTGTCTAATATGAACACCCTATCATATGTCATTTATTTAGAAATTATCACTGAAGTTGATTTTTTTTAAAATAAGGTCAATTGTGAAGGTCAAGGTCAAGGGGTAAGAATTCATAGCATGCTCGGAAATATCTTGTCACAGGTAATGCACATGTCAAATATGAAAGTCCTATCTCTTCTCAATATAAGGAACAAGATGTGTTTGTGAAACACAGATGACCTCATATGGCAACATAACAAAGATTTAACTTTTCTTAATTCAAATGAAATATATTTGATATTACCCAAAGTAGGGTTTTCAGACAAGAAATACGATTGTGAAATACAAAACCCACCCCCCTGTTTAAAAGAAAGTTATGGCCAAGGATACATTTTTGAAAAGTAGGTCAAACTCCAAGGTGAAAGGATCTGAGTTGTTGATTTCTTTAAAAAGGTCACAAGTAATACATATGTGAAGGATGAAAACCCTAACCTTAACCGTTCAATAGTTCTGGCCAAGGTAAAACTTTTGGAAAAGTAAGTCAATCTCCAAGGTCAAGGTCAAAGGGTCAAAGTTCTTGGTATCCAATGAAAGGTCTTCTCATAAGGATTACATATGTGAAGTACGAAAGCCTTAGCCCTTACCGTTCAAATGTTATGGTCAAGGTTAAACTTTTTTTTTCAAAAGTACGGAAATCTCCAAGGTCAAAGTCAAAATGTCAGAATGGTTGGTATCCAATGAAAGGCCTTGCCACAAAAAATACATATGTGAAATATGTAAGTCCTAGTTTCTACCATTCAAAAGATATGGTCAAGGTTAAAGTTTTTTCATAAGTACGGAAATCTCCAAGGTCAAAAGGTCAAAGTTGTTGGTATCCAATGAAAGGTCTTGCGACAAAAAATACATATGTGCAATAATATGAAGTCCTACATGTAGTATCTACCGTTCAAAAGTTGTGGCCATGGTCAAAGTTTTTGAAAATTAGGTCAATCTCCATGGTCAAGGTCAAAGGGTCAAAGTTCTTGGTATCCAATGAAAGGTCTTTTCACAAGGATTACATATGTGAAGTACGATAGCCCTAGCCCTTTCCGTTCAAAAGTTATGGTCAAGGTAAAAGTTTTTTCATAGGTCTCTAAGGTCAAAGTTAAAAGGTCAAAATTGTTGGTATCTAATGAAAGGCCTTGACACAAAAAATGCATATGTGAAATATGAAATTCCTAGTTTCTACTATTCAAAAGATATGGCCAAAGTAAAAGTTTGGATTTTTTGTGTAAAAGTGGGTCAAACTCCAAGGTCTAGGTCAAAAGGTCAAATATGGTGGTACCCAAAGAAAGGTCTTCTCACAAGGGTCACACAAGTGAAATGTGAAAGTCATAGCTCCACTAAATCAAAAATAATGGGCAAGCTTAAAGTTTTTGCGATGGACGGACAGACGAATGAGATTTAATGTCCCCTCGCTTTCGCTAAAGCGGGGGACAATAAAGAAGGCAATAAATTGTTATTTTATTCATTATGGTTTTATTTTGATCGGGATTGGTCCAAAATGAATTTTTTTTTCCAGTTTGCCATTTCATTTCAATTTCTTGCCAAAAAGACTGAGACTAGGCAAAATTCACATATACTTTTATCATTAGTAAACTTTAAGTGAATCATCGTGCATACGTACAGATATTTCTCCATCAGATAATAAAGGCTTTTCATAATTTTTAATTCTTATACCACCAACCTTTCACTTGCTATTTGACTTCGAATTAAAATCATGACACTCCTTAGGTTCATAAACAGTACCTGTATCAGGTTCCAATGAGCAATCTTTGTAACAAGTACGAACTCCTAGTATTTCTACATTGTTAAGTTAAAGTTTTGAAAAAATAATTTTACACTATTCTGTCTGTAACTTTGAACTTGCTGCATTGACACGTACTGGATTAAAATAATAACTTTCCTTATTTCAAAAACAATACCTGTACCAATTCTTTTCCAAATAAAGTTTTAGCCGAGACATTTTTTTTTCTTTTTTCTACCAGTGACCTTGAAATCGCCAAAATGACCTTGGATAAAGGTCAAGGCATATTCTTTGATCATAAGCAATATCTGTACCGAGTATGAGCTTCCACTGACTCTCCATTACAAAGTCAAGTTATGTCATACCTTTTTTCTACTAGTAACCTTGAACTAAATGGAATGACTGGATAAGATCATGACACATTTTTGGGTCATAAGCAATCCCTGTACCAGGTTTGAGCTTCCAGTGATTCTTTCTACAAAGTTATGACCCAGACAAAAATTTCATACTTTTAGGCCAGTGACCTTGAACTTGCAGGAATGACCTTTTGTTAGATCAGGACTCACTGTCGGGTCATTACAAGCAAGCTCTATAACAAGTATAAGCTTCCAATGTTTCCATATATCAAAGTTAGAGCCTAGACTAAAAATTACATTCACAGATAATGTGATTCCTATATATCCCTAAAACTTCCTTTGTTTGGGGTAAAAAGGGAAGTTTCATTACAAGGAATACACATTTGAAATATGAAAGCCCTAGCACTAATCATTCACATCATTTTTTTTTTACCAAGGTAGGTCATAGTCTAACTTAAAGGTTAAAAAAAGCTCAAAAGGAATGGCCATAGGTCGTAAAAATTAGTAAATTTGGAGACACATAGACAGACAGGTTATCAAAATATGCCCCCAAATCTTCAATTATAGAGGTGGAATAAAAACTCAACAATTTCAATTCCATGACAAACAGACTGTATAATAGTGTATTTTAATATATATGATAAATTCAAACTGACATAAATTAATCATGTATCACAAGGGACAAACACAGTTTTTACAATTACATGTACATCAGTTATGCTTTTCAAGAAAAATTGAAAAAATATGAAACATCTAGAAAATCTAAACTAAATTAGATAAGCAAGAAGCCCATGGGCCACATCACTCACCTGAGTAACTTTGGCCATTATGTTATTAAATAGATTTTCCCCTAATACCTATCTTGACCTTTCCCAATCCCCAGGGGTCATGATCCAAGCAATTTAGAATCTACACTAGTAACACTACCCCAGGATGCTTCCACAGAAGTTTAAGCTTTTCTGGCCCAGTGGTTCTTGAGAAAGTTTTTTATGACCCCACCCTATTTTTGTATATTCTTGACAATTTCCCCTCGGAAGGGGACTTTATTTTTATAATTTAAACTCCCACTACACAAGGATGTTTTGTACTAAGTTTGGTCAAAATTGGCCCAATGGTTCTCAAGAATAAGCTGAAAATGTGAAAAGTTTACAAATGAATGGACAGTCAGACGAATGGACGACGGACAACAGGTGATCAGAAAATATCATATGAGCTAAAAACTGCAAGGCCTGCTATATAAATCAAAGGAGAGAAAATATAAAAGAATTTAGATTTTACATATTGTTATATTTATTTATAATCTAAAACACTAAAAAATAATAATGTTACAATGAGATCACTTTATCTTTTCTAGCAATTTTCAATCTAAAATTAGATATCATTGAGATTATGGCCATCTCAAAGGGTCCCACTTTCAGTAATGAACATAAAAATATAAAGTAGCTGAAAGGGGTTTTAACCTTGACTCTTGGCCTAGAAACTTTGTTCAAGGTCATTACACATCCATTGACCAGTGGCACTCTGTGAGAGAAGTATTAGCCACATTGGACCAAGGGGAGAAAGCATATGCTCTGGACAAGGATTCACAATAAAAAAAATTACCTCCCTTTCTCTTAAGCTTAGATGTTCAGACAAGCACTGATTTACCTCTCTTGATATTTTTGCTTAAAAATCCAATCTTTAACTTTTTTAAATTAAAAAAATATGATATACAGATACAAAAAAAAAATTCAGAGAAAAAAACGTAGTACATGTGTATGAAAAGTTGTACAATAATGTAGTAACATAACTTTGAGTGATCTGCTGTGGATGTCATATGAGTTATCCTTAACGAGTTATGTACTCAGCATGGTACACTGAATCCTGAGAATTAAGCTGTTTACTGTGTCCTTCACTTTGTAGATATTAGTACATACTCAACTCTGTCCATTGGATTCTGTGAATTAAGCTATTTAGTGTGTCCATCACTTTGTAGATAACAATGTACTCAGCACGGTCCATTGAATTCTGTCAGTTAAGCTATTTAGTGTGTCCATCACTTTGTAGATATATAACAATGTTCTCAGCACGGTCCATTGAATTCTGTCAGTTAAGCTATTTAGTGTGCCCATCACTTTGTAGATATACATATAATAATGTACTCTGAGCACTATCCATTGAATTCTTTGAGTTGAGTTATTTAGTGTGTCCATCACTTGCAGTCCAAACCTTAAATTACTCTCTGCACTATTGTTGAAGCATATTTGTCTGCTATCAAAGAAACATGAAATTGATGGCAGTCTGCCTGTAAAAAAAGAAATCACAAGGACTCAACATAAATATTAATAAAATCTTAAGAAATGAAAAATAGCTAACATATTTTTACAGAATAGAAGGATTTTGCAGAGCTTGTACATGTGTGACTTACCTTTATTTTCAGGTCCCATAGTTGATCTCTTTGGAGTCTTGAGGAATCATGTTGATCTGCTTTTCAATTTGGAAACAGGATCAATGCCAGCATAACCGTCTGCCTATTAACAAAAAGACACTAAGAATCCAAGCAATGAGAGAGTCAAAATCTCCTCTAATTCACATAATGCAAGGTCTAGAGCTTTACATGCATCTGATCTGACTAACCATCAATGTTTAGGTTAGACAGTAGTAAGTCCTTACTTTCCACATTCTTGTTAACTGATTGAGATCAGTCTCATCTTCTACTTGTTAACAAAGGGAATCCAAAGATAATGAAAAAAACATGAACAAAAATACCTTGTGCCAAAATGTTCACCTGAGTCACCTTGACTTTGTCATCAAAAGAAAAATTCTTAATTCATATTTTTTTTACTAATCCTAGTCCAAAGGGATCATGATGTAACGTAATTTGAAACAACACATCCTTGGGATGCCCTCTTATTATTGCAACACAGTCTTGCTGTTGTGCAGCAGAAGTAAATCCCCCTGGACCTATGATTTGATAAGTGTATATAGAAAATTTGTAAATTGCAAAAAATAAATCTTTTTACCCACTCCTTAATCAGATATTGGCTGCTGTACAAAGCTTGGCAATAGACTCTTCTTTTTCTTCACTTGGTCAGCACTGGTCCTCTTCCCTTGTCAAATTCCTTGGAAATACTTGATGGAGAGAAGATAAGCAATAATACAAAGCAATGTAATAATCACAGAAATTCAAATGAACATAATCATTACAACATTATTAGCTTGAAAATCAAAAAGCAAATAAAGACAATAAGGTTATGATAGCTAGGAATAAGGTGGAATATTGGGGCAAGGAGAGGAAAGCATAGTTACTTTAGAGTAGGGAGGACAAAGATATGTCAGAAATAATTATAAATAAAAAATATTTGTAAGACTCCTGCCTGTTAAAGTGGGTCATGATGAAGTTCCATAGGTAAAAAAGAAGTAAAGTCTGATTCTTAGTATTAAAATTCTCTTCATGGCTGCAGCGGAATGGGAAAGGGACTCTTCCTCACTTAAAATTCCTGGTCAGTCTTAACTTTCTTCTGCTTAAAAAGATAAAACAGAGACATAAAAGGGGAAACACTTGCACTTCATACCAAGTGAGAAGCTTCAGTAAAAAGCAGCTTGTTGCTTACCACTTTTGAAACATAATACCTGCAAAACACAGACAGGAATAGACTCTTCTTATATTGATGACCTTGGTCCTCCATTGTTGTTCCTCTTCTGAATCAAAGGGGAACTGAAATCTGTCAATTGAAGGTCCAGATGTTAAAGCTTGGTACAGCCAACATCAATAGGCAAGCAAAGATACAAGAAGTAAAATCTGAATCTTACCCTGCTTTCTGCTGCTGTATGCAGTTCAATGAAAGAGGGAGTCCTCCTCACTTCAGGATTCTGTTCAGCCTTAAAAGTATTCCTCTTAAAAAGATAAAAATTAACAGACACCAAAAGAGGATCACTTGCACTTCATACCAAGTGAGAAGATTTCTAAAATAAACTAGTGGCCAATGGGCAATATGCTCACCTAAGCATATTGGATAGTAAATGACAAATTAGTCCAGTACTGAAAAGTATAACATTTAGGAAGAGGAGAAGGGGGCTTGAATAACTACCTGGAGACATTTTCATATCAATAACATTGGCTTAGCTGTTCTTGAACATAAAATTTTTTCCTATATATTCCTTTGTTAAAATTTTATCCCCACTGATGCCCCTCCCTGCCCCCTGAAATCAAGAATTGGACAAATTTGAATCTACACTACCTAAGGATGCTTCCATATCAATATGACTATACATGGCTTTGGTATTATTGAGAACACGTTTCCTATATACTGTAAATCACTTAATTTTCGCGAGATAGTCAATGACTCTTTTAGCGAGACAAAATTTTCAAAATTGTGGTCATTGCTCTATATAATCTTAAGGAATTATATTATATGCAAGAATGAAATTTTCGCAACCATACTGTCTCGAGTAATGTGAAAATAAAGTTCTCGCGAATAAAAAGTGATTTACAGTATTCCCCTGTCCATTTTGATCCACCATTGGGGCCCTGCCCTTCACCTGGGAGTCATGATTTGAACAAACTTAAATCTACACTACAAGAAGATGCTACCGTATACATATCACCAGTCATGACATATTTGTTTCTGAGAAGATTTCTAAAATTTAATATTTCCAATATAATCCAATGTAAAACTTTGATTGTCCAATGTGGCCCAAACCTCTTCCCGGTAGACATGATTTGAACAAAATGAAATCTTCACACCCAAAGGATGATTTGCTATCAATATAACTAATTGTGGCTTGAGAAAAAAAAAAGTATATCCCTACATACTGTAGATTCCTAAATATTTGCGTGGAATTAATTTTCGCGTAATTTCATGAGAAGCACCACACACAAAATTAAATTACTCGCCTTTATTTTTATGGCGCTGAATTCTATGTAAATCTCTTAACCAACCATGCATTTGCGAATTATTATTTTTGTGATTTGACGGTGAAAAGCCTATTCGCGATAATTACTCGTGAAAAATAAGGAATCTACAGTACGTATTATATATATTTTTGATCCCCTATTCTGACACCAACATGGGGTCTTGATTTGACTAATTTTGAATCTACACTACCTGAGGATGGTGCTATATAAGTGTCTCTTTCCTGTCTCAGTGGTTCTTGAAAAGAAGATTTTTAAAAGATGTCCTTAATTTTTCTCTTATTTGTAGTAATCTTCCATTTGAAGAGGGAGTGGGCCTTCATTTGAATAAACTTAAATCCCATAATGGCATTTATCCAAGGATACTCTTTGCCAAGTTTCGTTGAATTTGACCACAGATAAAAATGTGAAATTTTACAAACAAGAGGCCCATGGGCCACATCGCTCACCTGAGAAGCTTTGACGATTCTGTTCTTTACCAGATTTCCCCCTTGTAACACATATTGTGACCCCACCCTACCCCACTGATCAAAATTTAGACAATTTGAAATCTACACTACCCCAGGATGCTTCCACATAAGTTTCAGCTTTTCTGGCCCAGTGGTTCTTGAGCAGAAGATTTTCAAAGATTTTTCCTATATATTTCTATGTAAAAATTTTTCCCCATTGTGGCCCCGCCCAACCGCGGGGGGTCATGATTTGAACAATTTAGAATCTACACTACCCCAGGATGCTTCCACAGAAGTTTCAGCTTTTCTGGCCCAGTGGTTCTTGAGAAGATTTTTTAATGACCCCACCCTAGTTTTGTCTTTTCTTGATTATCTCCCCTTGTGAGGAAACTTGGCCCTTCATTTTAACAATTTAAATTCCCCTTTACTCAAGAATGCTTGGTACCAAGTTTGGTCAAAATTGGCCCAGTGGTTCTTGAGAAGTCAAAAATGTGAAAAGTTTACAGATGGACGGATGGACAGACGACGGACAAAATGTGATCAGAAAAGCTCACTTTAGCCTTTGGCTCAGGTGAGCTAAAAAGATGACAAAGACATAAAATGAACAAAGGTTCACAAGTCTTTTAAAAACCAGCACTTATATCAATTGATTCTACTACTAAATTGGGTTTGTGATCAGGAGAGATCCTATATGAGATGTTTACCAATGCTTTTGAGACTCATCTTCCCGTGCGTCCTTGCGAACTTAGCCTGGGACAAAATGATACCCAGTATCCGTCTGCTTCCACGTGGAGGCATCGCATAGGACTTGTTGTGGAGAGGCTATGTACTGGCAGGGGAAGTCATTAGAATTTCTTCCCCCTTTTTGCATTGCTGCTAGCCAGCGGTGATGGCTGAAAGCGAGAGGTGACAAGCACACAGACACTAACACCAACACACTAGACGCGTCACACAACATTTAGCAGACGTTAGTAGTTTTAGTAGCTTGTTACTTGTTCAGGGTTCTCCATTAATTGTTTGAAATTTTACTGTGTTGCAGAGTTTACGCAAAGCACTAAAATTTCACGGTATTTTAGCGATCAAATTTGCAACTGACTCACTATTCATTATAATTACTTAAGAATACATGCACACAATTTTTAAAAAAAAAAAATCACCAATTCGTTACAAAAATAGTATGGTCGAACATATTAGCACATGTTGTGAAATGCAGAGGAAATTCTTGTCTATAAAGTTGAACTACTTACAATTTTTTAAAGCAAATTTGTCATAATTTTTTTGTCAATTTTATTGATCGAATTAAGGAATTACAAAAAAAGAGACTTTGGAATAGTAAAATACTTTTAAAAGTACCTTGAAAATTAAAAAACTATTTATTTACATCAAGTAAATGATTTTGGTACAGTGTTATGTTTGATTTACATTGCAAACATAATTCTAGAGCCATGGCTCTAAAGAAAAGACATTTAAATATATTTTTAAAAATAATACAATGTACTTTAATTGCAACTACTAGTACCAATTAAGCGTTACATGGAAGTTTGAAATCCAATTTTTTGTCTTTGTTCCTTCATGCGTCAAGTCCATTGAGGGTCTAGGAAATAATTGATTATGCAAGGTGAAAGCATAATTAAGTGATCTAGATATCGTATAGAATTGAAAGACAGTAGAATTGTTTGATCAATTATGTTTCAGATAGAGAGAATTTGTATGTTTCAATTTTTTGTTTATTATCACAGAGTCAGCAAAATTTTTAATGTGTCGCACAGATAAAATTTGAATCTTTACTGTGTCGGAAAACATTTTTCTGTGTCGGGACCAACACAGTAAAACAGCTCATGCAGAACCCTGCTTGTTAAGGTGTTAATCATGCAAACCTATCCACCACAAGCACTAATCATGCACTAACTAACAAATACCTTAATTACAATAATAACCTACACTCCTCTAAGCTGTCTAACTATCATCTAAAGCCTACTTACTAACTCAAACTACAACACAACTGCATCTACCAGAAATACTACACAAACTAAACCTAAGACTAAGAAACACCTTTGTAACGCTACTTACAACTACTATGCACCTCATACTTTCTGAATGCAGCAGAAAACACTCCAGACTGACCTTCAGAGGTGGCTATCTCTGCTTCCTGTCAATTCAAACCCCAGAGGTCAAAGCCTGATAAAGCCAACATCAATTGGAAAGCCATAATATTGGGAAAGAGTGCTCAGAGGTCAAGTATGAATCTTACCGCACTTTCTGCTCATGAACGCTGTTAAATGGGAGAGGGACTGCTCTTCACTTCAGGATCCTGGTCAGCCTCAAATTTCTTCTGCTTAAAAAGAGAAAACAAACACATCAAAGGAGAATCACTCACATTCCCTAACAAATAACAAACTTCATTTGAATAATCAATTTGTTACTTACAACCTTGAGCCATATTGGTTGCTGCATAGAGATGGGAAATGGACTCGTCATCCTGTCTTTTGCTGTTGGTCGACCTTGCTCCTCCATCGTTGTTCCTCTTCCCAGTCCCTGAAAGTATAAAACTGGCACAATGTTAGTAAAACTTCAAAAGAATGCAACAAATCACGAAAAGTTACTTACCACTTTGGGCCATGTTGGCTGCTGTATAGAGATGGGAAATGGACTCGTCATCTCGTCTTCCTCTGTTGGTCGACCCTGCTCCTCCATCGTTGTTCCTCTTCCCAGTCCCTGAGAGTATAAAACTGGCACAATGTTAGTAAAACTTCAAAAGAATGCAACAAATCACGAAAAGTTACTTACCACTTTGGGCCATGTTGGCTGCTGTATAGAGATGGGAAATGGACTCGTCATCTCGTCTTCCTCTGTAGGTCGACCTTGCTCCTCCATCGTTCTTCCTCTTCCCAGTCCCTGAAAGTATAAAACTGGCACAATGTTAGTAAAACTTCAAAAGAATGCAACAAATCACGAAAAGTTACTTACCACTTTGGGCCATGTTGGCTGCTGTATAGAGATGGGAAATGGACTCGTCATCTCGTCTTCCTCTGTTGGTCGACCCTGCTCCTCCATCGTTGTTCCTCTTCCCAGTCCCTGAAAGTATAAAACTGGCACAATGTTAGTAAAACTTCAAAACAATGCAACAAATCACGAAAAGTTACTTACCGCTATTGGCCATGTTGGCTGCTGTATAGAGATGGGAAATGGACTCGTCTTCCTCTGTTGGTCGACCCTGCTCCTCCATTGTTGTTCCTCTTCCCAGTCCCTGAAAGTATAAAACTGGCACAATGTTAGTAAAACTTCAAAAGAATGCAACAAATCATGAAAAGTTACTTACCACTTTGGGCCATGTTGGCTGCCGTATAGAGATGGGAAATGGACTCGTCCTCTCGTCTTCCTCTGTTGGTCGACCTTGCTCCTCCATCGTTGTTCCTCTTCCCAGTCCCTGAAAGTATAAAACTGGCACAATGTTAGTAAAACTTCAAAAGAATGCAACAAATCACGAAAAGTTACTTACCACTTTGGGCCATGTTGGCTGCTGTATAGAGATGGGAAATGGACTCGTCATCTTGTCTTCCTCTGTTGGTCGACCCTGCTCCTCCATCGTTGTTCCTCTTCCCAGTCCCTGAAAGTATAAAACTGGCACAATGTTAGTAAAACTTCAAAAGAATGCAACAAATCACGAAAAGTTACTTACCACTTTGGGCAATGTTGGCTGCTGTACCCATCTCGTCTTCCTCTGTTGGTTGACCCTATCCTCCATCGTTGTTCCTCTTCCCAGTCCCTGAAAGTATAAAACTGGCACAATGTTAGTAAAACTTCAAAAGAATGCAACAAATCATGAAAAGTTACTTACCACTTTGGGCCATGTTGGCTGCTGTATAGAGATGGGAAATGGACTCGTCATCTCGTCTTCCTCTGTTGGTCGACCTTGCTCCTCCATCGTTGTTCCTCTTCCCAGTCCCTGAAAGTATAAAACTGGCACAATGTTAGTAAAACTTCAAAAGAATGCAACAAATCACGAAAAGTTACTTACCACTTTGGGCCATGTTGGCTGCTGTATAGAGATGGGAAATGGACTCGTCATCTCGTCTTCCTCTGTTGGTCGACCCTGCTCCTCCATCGTTGTTCCTCTTCCTAGTCCCTGAAAGTATAAAACTGGCACAATGTTAGTAAAACTTCAAAAGAATGCAACAAATCACGAAAAGTTACTTACCACTTTGGGCCATGTTGGCTGCTGTATAGAGATGGGATATGGACTCGTCATCTCGTCTTCCTCTGTCGGTGGACCTTGCTCCTCCATCGTTGTCCTCTTCCCAGTCCCTGAAAGTATAAAACTGGCATAATGTTAGTAAAACTTCAAAAGAATGCAACAAATCACGAAAAGTTACTTACCATTTGGGCCATGTTGGCTGCTGTATAGAGATGGGAAATGGACTCGTCATCTCGTCTTCCTCTGTTGGTCGACCCTGCTCCTCCATCGTTGTTCCTCTTCCCAGTCCCTGAAAGTATAAAACTGGCACAATGTTAGTAAAACTTCAAAAGAATGCAACAAATCACGAAAAGTTACTTACCACTTTGGGCCATGTTGGCTGCTGTATAGAGATGGGAAATGGACTCGTCATCTCGTCTTCCTCTGTTGGTCGACCCTGCTCCTCCATCGTTGTTCCTCTTCCGAGTCCCTGAAAGTATAAAACTGGCACAATGTTAGTAAAACTTCAAAAGAATGCAACAAATCACGAAAAGTTACTTACCACTTTGGGCCATGTTGGCTGCTGTATAGAGATGGGAAATGGACTCGTCATCTCGTCTTCCTCTGTTGGTCGACCCTGCTCCTCCATCGTTGTTCCTCTTCCGAGTCCCTGAAAGTATAAAACTGGCACAATGTTAGTAAAACTTCAAAAGAATGCAACAAATCACGAAAAGTTACTTACCACTTTGGGCCATGTTGGCTGCTGTATAGAGATGGGATATGGACTCGTCATCTCGTCCTCCTCTGTTGGTCGACCCTGCTCCTCCATCGTTGTTCCTCTTCCGAGTCCCTGAAAGTATAAAACTGGCACAATGTTAGTAAAACTTCAAAAGAATGCAACAAATCACGAAAAGTTACTTACCACTTTGGGCCATGTTGGCTGCTGTATAGAGATGGGAAATGGACTCGTCATCTCGTCTTCCTCTGTGGGTCGACCCTGCTCCTCCATCGTTGTCCTCTTCCCAGTCCCTGAAAGTATAAAACTGGCACAATGTTAGTAAAACTTCAAAAGAATGCAACAAATCACGAAAACTTACTTACCACTTTGGACCATGTTGGCTGCTGTATAGAGATGGGAAATGGACTCGTCATCTCGGCTTCCTCTGTTGGTCGACCTTGCTCCTCCATCATTGTTCCTCTTCCCAGTCCCTGAAAGTATAAAACTGGCACAATGTTAGTAAAACTTCAAAAGAATGCAACAAATCACGAAAAGTTACTTACCACTTTGGGCCATGTTGGCTGCTGCATAGAGATGGGAAATGGACTCGTCATCTCGTCTTCCTCTGTTGGTCGACCTTGCTCCTCCATCGTTGTTCCTCTTCCGAGTCCCTGAAAGTATATACTGGCACAAGATTAGTAAGACTTCAAAACAATGCAACAAATCACAAAAAATTCAAGTGAATAAAATCAGTACAACACAATTTGTTGAAAAATCAGAAAACAATGACAGAGAATTCAGGAAGACGAATGAGGGAGAAAGGGAAAGTGATGGTTAGTTATGTTAGAGTCAGCAGGGGAGAGGGGGTAGGGGAAAGGGAGAAAATCAAAAATACTTCCATATAAGCTTCCTTTGCTGTTGCTGTGGCTTCTGGTGATGTTTCTTCTGAACTGTCTCAGTTTTCTGATTCCTGTCAAATCAAAATCAATAGGTCAAAGCTTGACAAAGCCAACATCAATTGGAAAGCCAAAATACTGGGAAAAGGTACAAAGAGGTCAAGTATGAATCTTACCCCATTTTCTGCTCATGAATGCTGTTAAATGGGAAAGGGACTGCTCCTCACTTCAGGATCCTGGTCAGCCTCAAATTTCTTCTGCTCTTATAAAGAGAAAACAGACACATCATAGGGGACTGACACTCCCAGTCTCATTTCACATGAAGTATGAAACTTCATTTAAAAGCATAGATAATCAAAGATTATGAAGCTCACCTTGACGAATGTTATCAGTTTAAGTAATGCAAATCTTACATCATATTTCCTTCACAGTTAGTATTTATCCTGACAACAATATTCAAGCAAATTCTGTTTAAATAGGTTT